ATTTCACTGAATATCATCAGTGTGTTTATGTGTGGGCAGATCTAACATATATATAACAACATATTTATATACACATGCTCATCGCTCACACACCAGGTGCTTCACAGTATGTTGTGTAAAAGGTTGAACTGCGTTTCATACACAGAACAAACTGCACTGCAAAAGATGAGAGCTTCACCGTCACCATCCTGCATCCCGTGTGCTCAACATGTGTTTGCCTGCTACATTTCTTCACCTGGTTTCAAAGCGTCTAATGGTCTCAGAGTTCTGCGGCCTGTTACACCAGCTCAGTGTAAGTTCTGTCTGAAGTCATGGTGTTAAGGTCACACTAAACCCTCCAGAAGTCGCGTCTTTATCGGGTTGCAACCTTGGAGATGCAAGGCTCATCTTAAGTAGTAGTGTGTGACGTTCAAACTAACCAAAATACTGTCGCAGAAATGATGTTTCTCTTCCTATGGCCAATCAGGGAAGTGCATTTTTCTTAATGCAGTGTTCATTACAGTGTTGTTTCTCATGCCTAATTGTGAACAGACAAATGGCTAATAAATGAAATGTATTAATTGTTAACTTGTGTAAATCCACAAACAGCGACGAAAATGTGAAATCTTCAACTTAAACTACATTTAATGACAGCCTACTCCGTTGTTGGACGGGTGGAATTTCCTCCATTAATGGAAAACGACATCAGGATTTTAAATCAAAGTTATGATCCATTTTTTTTTGAGGGATGTTTGTTGGTTAATCCATCACTAAGAACACGCTGCTGACATCAGAACATCCTCTGCTCCTCCCCATCCTCCCACGTTACCCCACCTTTCAAAACAATCACCATGACAACCGTATTTTACTGAGGACTTTATACTTACTAGGAGCTAGGTATAAGATTGTAACTTTTGCATCTTCAGCTGGTGGAGTGTAAACTCGGCGGTAAGTCAGGACTTATATTCAGACTAGGCGACTGTTAAGATTTACATTTCTTTGGCGACTGTCACCATGGGCAACGAGTCAGGATGCAAGAATCCAGCCAGGAAACTTCATGTAACTTCACAAGATTTATTTCTTCAAATTCAGTTTAAAAGGGGAAAATAAAGGGAGGAAACATCAACACAACAAAGAGAAGTGAAATATTATTATAAATATAAACAATGAGTCAAATTAGATTTACTTCCTGGTCGTGTTCGGCCTAAAGTCATGAAGTAAGGACCGCTGCGTTTTATAGCTACGATTCAAAAAGGTTATATTCTTGTTGTTTCCATGGGCATTCATGGCTCTCCTGGTGGAGTCAGTGGAAAGTTAAAAGCTGCATTAATAAAGACTTTCATATTAACAGTAGACAAATGACTGCACAATGTGAGAGCTGTTATTTGTTCAATTATTGTTGTTTTTATTTTCCTGCCAAACACATTCTGTTCTGGCTCTTTTTCACTGCACTCATTAGTTTTGTTTCCGATCACAGCCGACAGATGTTTCTGTCAAATCAGCTCAGACAAACCCCACCGTCCAAAAAAAACCTCCATCAAGCATCACGCAGACACTTTTAGAGAGTAGCTGGTGAAAACAGAGACAATCAGCAGCTCTAGCGTCAGATATATATATATATATATATATATGTATATGTATGTGTATGTATATGTATATGTATATGTATATATATATGTATATGTATATATATATATATATATATGTCCCTTCTGTTTTTTTAGGCCACAGTAGGAGATAAAAGAAGAGAGCTATTTAGCATTAATTACATGGACGATAACAAAGTTTAAATTGATGCTAACACATGTGTGGCCGACAATAAACAATCTAATCAAGAAACAGATTTCTGTCACTGGAAGTAGCCTTGACTTTTTACCCATTTTAAATGACGCACAGTGGAGATTCTAGGGTCTGTTGGGGCCTTCGGCAAAAATGGCTTTCATTATTATTTTCCTCTCTCTTTTTTTTCACTCCAAAACAGATAATTCCTCTTCTTCATTTTCCTTCATTGACAAACTTTGGTTTTCACAGCAATAATGCATGCAACACTTTTGTATTGAGAGTGAGTGATATCAGATGGGGCCCCCTGGGGAGGTTCCTGACTGCCATTGCAAAAATGTGCACATTTTGAGACAATGCTGTGGTTTAAAGTTTCTTATCCGTTGGGGGGGGGGCCCTACTGGCCGTGGGCCCCAAGTAGTTGCCTGCCTTGCCTGTTGACTTGCAGCGCCTCCTGATGACACATAGTTGTCTCCAACAATAACCCAGATAGAGTCCCCCTCCACATAATCCTGCACAGCTGGAGCATTTAAAGCTAAGAACCACAGCTGTATAAGACAGTAAAAGTGGCCTATAAGGAATCTGATTTAGTTTATTAAGCATCTTCCCCCCAACAGTGAAACATATTAAAACTTGTATTTCCTCTTTTCGCTTCTCTGTTGTTCTGCGTCATAAAGATGTTTGCTTCCTAGAGACAGAGTCATTAGAAGTGTGTCTACAGAGGTGTAGACGTAGCAACATTCAGACGTGTCCACTGTCCAGTCTGACGTTCCCTGTCGTGTCTGTTCCTTTTCTAGATCTCCCTGCTGAAGCAGAGTCTGGAGATGCAGCTGTCCCAGTCGCAGTCGTCGCTGCAGCAGCTGCAGCACCAGTTCAGCCAGGAGAGGGAGCACCTGAGGATGCAGCTGGACGAGCTGCAGACGGAGCACCAGAGGCGACAGCAGCGTCTGCAGGAGGTCCACTGCTGTGCCATGCAGGACATGGAGCACGCCAGGCAGAGGGACCTGAAGGTACGCATTCACACCGTTTGAAACAGCACAATGTTACAGCAATACTCTGACGATATTAGTGTTTCTCAAACAATGTCTTTATCTGTGAAGTCTTTTCAAATTTGTTGAATGGAATTCCTTCATCAGAAAACATTTGAAAAGCTTTTTTTTAAACTGCATTTTACACATTCATGTTTCCTAGCAGACAGTTCCCTTACCTCCTTTCCTTTTCGCTAGGTTTCTTGCCGTATTCCTGCCAAAAACTGTCAATCAGTGAAGTTTTAAAACCATTAACTTAAACTGTATATTATCTGTTGAGTGCACCTTTGCATCCTCGTGCATCTGTAAGTTGAGCCAGGGAAACAAACAACACGTGCGCCTACTCTTCTAATCATGGCTCAACAGCGCCACCAGTGAACAGAAATGGATCACAACCCAAATTGGAATTTATTTAATGATTTATTTTTGCGTTATTTATTCCTTTATTGAGCGACAGGACGGCGGCTAGCGTCGTAAATCAGACAGAGATAGAGCTGGAAGTGACATGTGGCATGGAGTCACAGGTCAGAATCGAACCCAGGCTGCCCACTTTTGAGGACTGTAACCTCTATACATGGAGCGGGTCTTTCTAAATCCGACCTGCTCCTCCAGGTGAACCGACCGCGGTTGAGCAAGCTCTGACTTCTGTCCCACCAGCAACCGCCCACGGATCAACCCTCTTAATCCAGAGCCATCTGCTCGCTTTCTCCGCGGCTTTACTCCCCGATTGGACAGCCCTCTTCTTTCCTGCACCTCAGATTCCCAGTTGGTGGAAGACTTTGTTGAACAGGTGTCCTGCAAAGCCTTTACAGCCAAATGCTTTGGGCTCATAGTGAGTGTTCCAGCCCGTGTCCTGGCACTCCCTCCACCAGTTCCTGGTACTTTGCCCACTTTCCTCTCATTGGCCGCTTCAATGCATTCCTCCCATGGCACAGCGAGTTCCAGCTAGATCAGCTGTTTTGTCCCCTCTGAGGGTTCTGATCATGCCTGGATGACGTGATGTTCCTGCAATGTGCTGTGGGAACTTTAGCTGCGTACCCAAATCAACGTTCAGCTGCAGGTCAGAGGTCGTGAAGAGGATGCCTGTCCTTGTCTTTGTCTGTGGGTGAGGTGTTTCTGCAGCTTTGAAGAAGACGATTGCCTTCTTTGGAGCATGCTGGCGTCTCCCTGGGCTGATGGCAGGCTCTCTTACCTCAGATCCAGCCTTAAGCACTTGGTCATGGCGCCATTTGGAAGTTTGTTAGCATACAAGCAGAAACAGACACAAGAACTACAAATAAGAATCCAAAAGAACCTGATCAACAAAACAACATGAGAACTGAACAGCAGTGGAAAACCCAACCATCTTAACAACTCAAGTAACACGTGTCTCTTTAAAGGGATACTTCACCCATTTGCATTAATCTTTGTATCATTAGAAACCTGGTAGTATTTTTGAATGGTCGTGCATCTCTCTCTCGTTTTCCCCTGAGATGGGATATATTTGTCGTTCTGAGTCTGAAAAGGAGCTTCCAGTGACGCAAAATGACGATTTTTGCGTCACTGGAAGCTGTTGCAGTTAGCCGGGTGAAACTACAACGCTAGTTCTTCATATTTTCGACCACTGAAGCTACAGACCAATCACAGATCAGTGGGTGGGAACTCACTCCCAGAATCGAAACTTAACGTCCGCCATATTGCTTGGAAGCTACGCTAACAGGCTCTATGGAGAAAGATGATAATAGTGAAAAAATATAAATATAGCAGTGAGACGACTGCTGCCGACAGGCCGGTCTTGTGTTTTGGCCGCCACTGGCCGCCGCTGGCCTGCAGTGCTGTGCATTCTGGGATTTGGTGTCTTTCATCCACATGAGCCAAGAAGGCACCAACTTCAAAATGTATTACACAATTCTACTACATATATGACCCAATGTCAATACAGATTCATCTTTCAACGGATGAAGTATCTCTTTAAGTAGCAGTTGTCAAGTCAAACGCTCCCATCTGGTAAAAAAGTTTTGTAAGGATGCAGTTAAACTTCTACCAGTAAAACCGTATGCAGGCAGCTCAGCCTGTCAGAAACACTGTGACCAGGTCTGAGCCGTCACACTGAAGGTTCATTGTTCCAGTACTGCAGCAGAGCTGGATAACTACACAGAGTCAGCACTATGGACAGCTACTGGATACACGCCTCAAACTCAGACTTAATCAGCACCGCGGACAGCGATCTGATGTACTACAACAGCTACATTTATTAACAGAGCCTCCCCTTAGTCCCTGAGGAAGGATTATTTACCTTCCATTTATCACTGTCACATTCATTTTCATTAAGTACACCGGCTCTGGAAAATGTGAGACCGGTCTTGTAAAGCAAAAAAAATGGAAAGTGGAGATTGATTATCCAGTAATTCAATTCTAACTTATGTTTATCATTTTAAAAAAGCACAAAAGCAAGAGCTGCAGCAATTATGTCATCTCCTCAGCTAGTTTAAAAAAAAACTCCTCAGGAGCCGGCTGTCCTCGACATTTTTAATCCAATCAAGTCTCGTCAGAGTCAAGGTTAGTCTGGCAGTGAGTCATCAGCGTCGTTCGTCCCTCTCACTGACAGCTTTCTATTCCGACTCCCCATACTGACACCTCTGTGATTCCTCTTTACAACGTCAAAATATGCACACACACAAACACAACATGCACGCTTCTTCAAGGTGCCAAGAAAATGTTCTCCGACGCTAATCCTTCCCATTTTTTTGCAGTCAAGGTCGATTTGGATCACCTATATTCCAAATCCCCTCTTTGACTCGGGGGTGCTGTAATTGTATTAATGCTCCAGGCAGAAATGGAGGTCAGGAAGCGGCGTCCGTGTGATGTGTTTTTGGCAGCGCCTCGAGTACAAATGTGTGCGAGGATGAGTGTGCTGGGAGAGGGAACGTCACCTCTGAGTCACACGGCTCTTATGAAATCGGCAGTCTTCATTATTTTTTCCTGTACACAAAACTAACTGCGATAACAAACATTGTAATCCGTCTCTCCTCCAGATGTTTTCCAATACAAACACGCTCGACAGCTGGCGCACATTCCTCTCAATATAACCTCAGAATGGACCACTTTTTGTGTGTCCTGCCTCAGTTGTAGTTTTTAAAAAGAGGAAGTGTGAAAGGCTTCATTTGGTGGCAGGGTGTTTATATTCCTGTCGAGCAGAAGGAGCACGGAGAGAGAGAGAACTCCATTATAGAGTGGAGGCATTAGAAGGATGATTTGTGAATGTGTGTCTGGGCGGATGAGAGGAAACATTCAGATTGCCTGGCGTTATCTGTTCACACTTCGCAGACGGTGACATCCAGGGAGTAATAAAGTTTTCACATTTCCCTCCCCGCTACACAAACACATTCTCATAACCTAATTCAGCTCTCCTGCCTCCCCCCCGCTGCTAAAAGAGCTACAAACAGACGCAGCGAGTGTGCATAGATAGCGGTTCAGTTTATTGATTTGCTTATCCACCCTTTGTCGTACTTATCTTATTTCTCAGACTCTCGCTCGCTTTCTCGGAAGGGAGACATTTTTTTTACTCTTCTGTCATGCTAGCAGCGGCGCTTCAAGGTTTGCAATGCGAGTTAGTCACTCCACACCTTTTCCTTCAGACTCAAATTTGACGACAATCTAGTTCAATATCGACGTCAATATTACGTCACAGCAGTTACCCCCTGCATCATGGTGGGGGAAAAACAGAGGAAAGAAACTCAGAGGCAGGCCACATCAAGATCCCTGGTGTAGGAGGGAAAATGTCTTGTGGATGTGGATGTAATGCTGCTAGATGTCAGAATATTCTGACATAATTTAATACCTATTTTGGACGGGTATAAATTAGTCCCACCTGTGTGTGTTTGAGAAAATTGCCTGTTACACGCTGAAGAGGAACGTCTGCTCCAAACGTTCCTGTGGCAATTAAAATACAATTTTAAAGTGCTGTCAAAATCGTTTTTTCTTAGATGTCAGAATAGGAACATGAAAAAACACGGCCTCCATCTCCATAGAATACGTCATCAAAGAAGCCCTTTGAAGCATAATGCAGACTTTTATAGTTGCAAGCCATTAAAAGGACGGAGTGGACGGAAAAATCATCCAGAGTTCTTGTCTCTGTTGTGCTCACTTCATACCGATACTCACACTCATCGTGATTTCCACTATTCTAACATGTATCAAACAATGATGCTTGCCTTGTACACAGTCTTCACTGTCATGGGTGTGGGAAAACAAGGGAGGTGGACAATAACAAAAATGATTTAATTTAACAAAAAGGCAAAAGGCAAACAAAAACGTACTATTCAAAAAGTCCAAACTACAAAAAACCACAAAAGGTAAATAACACAGGTAGCCACGAGGAGTCACAGGAGCACAAGGAAAACCGAGAACTCAAGAATGTAACATTACCACTAGAACAAAGAAACACAAGGATAAGAAACTACAAAATAAAACAGGAAACACTAAAGACTAAACTATGAAACTTTAAGACAAAAAACACACAAAGGGAAACAAGCAACACAAGGATGGACAGGAGAAATTAAAACATGGAAACCTAAACGCTGAAATACAAAACTAAATAAGACTAAATCATGACATTCACTCTGTGACCCACTCACAAAAAGTATTCTTGTTGTCTGTCCCCAAAAAGTACTGTAGATCTTGACATGGGGGGAAAAGAGTTTTGGGTGCTGTCTGGAGGAGCCGGTCTCTTTAAATCTTTTTATAAGTAGTTTAAAAGCATTGGAGGAAGATGCGTCAGGTTGTAAATGCTTTGACTGATGATTTTCTGCTCGGTGACTCTTTGTTTGTAATCGTTCTGTGTTAAATGTCTGCTGACTCTCTTGGTCAGGACACTCTTGTAAATTAGACTTTAAATAAAGAATGATTTTCCTTATGCATGATTTTGAGTTTGACATAATGAGGAAGAAAAAGGAGTTTAAAAAGTGGTGCACCGCCTCGAGCAACTCGTATTACTTTTCTCTCCCTTATACAAAGAAAAGTCCAGAGGGTTTCTAACTTCTCTGGACTCTCTCCAGAGTGCAGTCACTTCTCACGGCCTCATACTGAGGAGGTTATACGTCTGCTTTTATCTCTTAACGAGCTCCACTAGTGCGGCGCGCTCTCTCTCTCTCTGGTCGGCTGGAGAACGCTTTGAATAAAAACTGAAGATCATCACAAAGCAGCCGCTCGACTGCTGACTTGAGAGCGAGGAAGGAGAGAACACATTACACCTGAGTCGAAGTCGATGTGTTGGTGGCTGCGGGTTAGATAAGGCATTAAGATTCAGCTCGGGGTTTTGAAAACCACTCAACAGTCTCGCACCTTGAATGCATATCAGACACCCTTTTAAGCTACTTCACCTTTTCAGACGCCGAAGTTTCACCACCTGGAGTCTTTAAGTTGTCCTCGAGGGGGGGTCAGGATCAAGACCATGTGCTGAGGCAGCTGGATCAGTCTTTCAGAGGACTCGAGGGCCACAGTCGCTTCATGTCTTTGTGTGGTTATCCTCTCCTGTCTCTCGCCTCCTGTTCATCAATATCAGCCCTTTCTGCGTAGTTAAATAGATTCAGCCACCAGCAAAGTAACAAATATTGACCCTCCAGTAATGGAATGAAGATTGAGCAACCAGACCTGGACCCACAAACAGCTCAGAGAGGAGAGGAGGAGGTGAGAGTAACAGCATTACTGTCAATTTGTAATTATAGTATCCACTGCGATTAGAGGTAATTCATGTGCTCCCTTTAATTAAAGGAATAACCGCCATGGTTTTTACTGACCCCATTGCACAAATGGACCAACGATCAATACCTAAGAATGAGAGAAATTAGTGGACCTTAAAACTCACTTTCTCATACAGTGATGAAACCTCCGGCTGGACTTTCAACACTCTTCTATCTGTGTTTTTCACCCACACTAATCGTTGGTGGATTAGTGGCGCTGCTTCACAGTCATGATCACTTTATAGTAGCAACAGAATGTGATGCTACTCAGAGGTTTTCAAACCACACCTCACCCCCCTGAGCTGTTTGATCAGGAGAAAGAGAATGTGAAAGAAACGACTTAGGAGGAATGTTTTTCAGAATGATTTTTGAACATCACGTCTCAATGACTTTTCCCTGCTTCCTACCATGAATCAAACTCAGTTTAAAGATCAGAGCAGTCCTACAATGTTTCATTCATTTTTTCTTTACATTTACTGAATGAGATGAAACCGAGTTGAAACCTCCGGTGGTAAAATGTCTTAAAACTGCAGTTCCTCGAGTGTCCACTTGAGGCTGGCTGCAAAATCCAAGGAGTCCTTATTAAGTTGTTTTTTTTTTAAATATGCGCTCCTAAAAAGTTTCTCGAGATTTCAGGTAGACTGAACCACAACCAGGAGAGCGCTCTGGTGATGTTTCTCAGAGCGAGAGGAATCCCTTGTGATGGCGGCGCTGAGCTCCTCCTGAAGCGCAGGTGGCGGGTTTTTCACCGACCCGACCGACGAAGTAATTTAAACACAGAGGATCATAACAGGCAGTACAGGAAATGAGAGAGAGAGATGGTGACAGACAGAAAGACGAGAGGAAACATTATGAAAAATATGAAGCGCTGCTGTTTGTCATGATAGAGAGGAGAGGCTTGTTGGTACATTTAAAAGTATTTTTTATGATGAATGTAGCTTGACAGACTATATTATCTATCTGTTTATAAACATCTCATCATTAATGATCTGGAACTCTTTTTGTTTTGCATTTTGGAAAAGTTAAGCGTCACCATAGTTACCATCAGGGGATCTTTTGTCAAACTCTCGGAGAACCGGAGACCGCTGTCCGCCGACTCAGAGCGAGGCTCATTTAAATATTCAGAGCTGTCTCCGTTCCGTGACTCATTTCCCAAAGGCATTACACACCGACGAATTAAAATGCCACAGATGTTACTGTCAGACCTCTATGAATATCATTTTAGGTGTTCCTAGTTGATGGCTTCTTGTTATAATATGCAAAATGGCGTCTCAATATTTTACCGGCGCAAGAGAAATGGGTTGAACTCGGTGTGAACATCAGTCGTCTTGTCTACATCGATGTGTTTTAAGGGCTTTGTGTAATGATAAAAATGAGATCTCAACTTGTCTAGTTCTGTAAGAGTGCTGATGGAAGAAACAGAGAGAAGAGACACTCTCATTTAAATATCAAACTTTACTTCATACAGTCCCCCTCAATCCCCCAAAGACGAGACATAGATGAAACCAGCTGAGGAATACTGTCTCACAGTAACCAGATCACTCATTCTGCCTGTCCCACAATATCAGTTAATTCAGCTCACCTGTTGCTCTACGACCACGAATTATTGTCCTATTTCTAGAGACAACACATACATTATTATCAAAACCAGTAAGAGGAGTATTCATGGAAATATAAACTGTAAGTAAGATTTTAATGGATGTTCAACTGGAGAAAAATATTTTAAATCAAATTAAATACTGGGAGTCTCTCTGTGTGTGTGTGTGTGTGTGTGTGTGTGTGTGTGTGTGTGTGTGTGTGTGTGTGTGTGTGTGTGTGTGTGTGTGTGTGTGTGTGTGTGTGTGTGTGTGTGTGTGTGTGTGTGTGTGTGTGTGTGTGTGTCATCCTAAAATCATGTCAAAACCACTCTGGTGAAGTTTTTCTTCTACTACCAGCCGTGTCATATAAGTAGGTCTATACTCTCTCTGTCTGTGTGTGTGTGTGTGTGTGTGTGTGTGTGTGTGTGTGTGTGTGTGTGTTGTGGCTGGATTCCAGTCAGCAGCGATACTACCTGATGCTAATGCTAATGCTATGTATATAAATGATCGTCAGTTCTCTTTGTTCTAATATGTTGTTCCAGTTAAGTTGTTTGTTTGTTTCCTGTAATGGCTGTAAACATCAACGGCTGAATTAATCAAACTCAACAAAGTTTAATTAATTACCAATTTAAAAAAAAGCACCAGGCAAAATGGTGAAACATCTGTTAGTATATTTGAGTAAAAAATAAGCTCTATTATTTTGTTTCATGTTTTGTGAAGTCTGTGTAGACTCTTCTGTGTTTCAGTACATAAAGGTTGGAGGTTGACGGAGAGATCGACTGGTCCAAAGTAAACCTCTTTACATTGTATTTTGATAAAATAAAGCTTCTTGGTTAACTTTGCAAACATTCTTCTTTTCCTTTTTTGGAAAATTATCAGAAAGTATCTGTTCTACAAACTTGTAACCATACCCCAGAGCAAAAAGTCTCCTTAGATGACCTGGAGTGTTGATTTGGAAGCACTGCTCCAAGGAGCCATTTTCACACATGCACTCTCGAAAGTGTTTTAAAAATTTCAGATAGACTTTCTCTGAAACCTTCCCGAGTTAGTTGTTTGGGAAAGTAACCCGTTTGCAGGAAAGGGGTGGACAAAGAACCCCTCAGACAAAGAGTCTGACGTTATGACCGTTGTTTGCCTTTATATCAAAGCTATGTGCAGTTTGATGTGTTCACTGTATGAACAGGAAACATAAAGTCAAGGTTACCAGATCTGTCTGCAAACCTCTTAAAGCGATGAGGATGTCTGCGAGACAACACTTTCCATATAAGAGTGATCTTTTATCATTGCCTCAGAAAAAAGTTTTCTATAGAAATAGTCCAATTCCTCTACTTGACTGATGCTGTATTGCATTTTAAATCGTTGTAGGATGATTTCTAGTTTTCTCCTCAAGCACTCAGAGGATTTAAGATGTTGCTGAAAAGCTTCCGTATCTCTTCTTGCCTCGTTTTTTTTTTCCATTTCCGACTCATATCTTTCCTTCCTCTTACATTCCTCTCTCACTCCATCATCCCCTCCTACATCTTAAACTTTTAAATAACAAATGTTCCTCTTTCTCTCCCTCTCCTCACTCATTTCCTCTACCCTACTTTTCCTCGATCCCCCCCCTCACACATCTCTCCCTCTGGCCCTCCCACTCTCTGTTCTCCACTTTACCCCTATTTTCCTTTGTGTTATCCTTATCCGCCCTCCCCTGTTCCCCTACCTCACACCCTCCCACCCTCTCTCATCACTCGTTCAGGAGCTGGAGGAGCGTCTCCGCCATCATCACCATGCAGAGCTGCAGTCTCTCAGAGAGGCTCACCGCCAGAGCATCGAGACGCTCAAGCAGCAGTCGGAACAAGAGCTGCAAACACTCCGCTTCGAGCTGGAAGACGAGGGCAAAGCCATGCTGGGTGAGGTCATGTGACAGTGTGTGTGTGTGTGTGTGTGTGTCGGGGTCGGGGGCAATCAATAGATTCAGCCTTCCATGACTTTTTGGCACATTTTCAACAAATATCCTCATGAATGCACATGGTCACAGTGTGAGCTCATTTAACTGAGCAAACTGAAGTTTCACCAGAAGAAAACAGCTACCAAAACAGCCTCTCCTTCCCTTCGTTTTCCTTTAACTAAATATAGATTTAAGACTTTCTTTAAGATGTAAAAGCACAAACTTTGAAGTACAAATGCTGGTGGAATTGCTGGTTACGATACAATATGATATAATACGATAGGAGACAGTGTGATATGTCAGCACACCACTGCAAACTACAAGATACGATACATTACAATGTGATACGATATGATTGGACACGACAAGTAACGATAAATAAACTTTTAATAAAGCTGAAGCCATGTCTCCAAAGTGTTTTCCAGTCAAATCTTAATTAATGATACGATATCGAAGCTAGCAATATCATTGTTGCATCAGAAGCGTAAATTGTAAAAACCTATGCAGCAACCTCCAGTGTTGGAAAAACAAAGCTGATTTGTTCAAAAATCCTGCAGTTCGTAGAGCGTCCACTTGAGGCTGGCTGCGGAAACACCAGAAGTCACACACACACCCATTAAAAAATTATGTTTTTACAGCCTGGTTCATAAAACAAAATTGGTCTGATTAGCTAGTTTCTCGATCAGCACACACTAAATGTTATGATTATTCCAGTCATGACTGACAGGCCGACTGGACGGTATGTGATCGTTTATCAAGAGGTTTAAAACCCGCCTCAGCTCCAGCTCTCAGCCTGTTGTTAAGTTGACTGAAAGTTAAGGTGAGACAGCATTTCCAACATGGCGACATCGCTAGGACTCCAAAGCCCCCTGCAGTAACAGATGGGTGACATCACTCAGACTCAGCCTATGGTAAAAAAAACTTCAGTTTCAGGCCCAATTATGCAAATTAAACTCACTTGTTATTCCTCTATGAATGTGGTGTGGCTTTGCTTACAAAAATGGAAAACATACATGTGTCAGATTTATTTGTAGCATTAGTATTAAACCTTGCTAACACTAGCAACTGTATTAGCACAAAGTTCTGTATGTATGTTATGTAGGCGACATCTAATATAAAACCTAAATAGTTTACATAACATTGAGTGTCATTTAGAATATCTTGATCATACTAAATCCAGAATTCAGGTTTTATATTAGTAAGCTAATGTTAGCTTTATCAGTAAGTTCAACTAGCTGTTCAACCGTTAGCCTATATGGGAGTCACCAGGTGGGTATCAACTCAATGCAGTCAGCTGTTCCAGTGAATCCCACGTTAATGTAGATCTAATCAAAGAGTCTTTATTTTCATGGACCTCTTTTGAGATATTAGGATTTTAAACTTTTGGTTTCTCGTTCATATAAAACTTTCTGTAACTAAACCACTGAAAGGCTCCAGAGGGAACTTGACTGGTGAAGGAGTAATGTTTCCTCACTCAACCTCCTGAAACTTAAAGTTAATACTGATGGTGCTGTGAAGACAATGGACTATGTGGACTAGAATGAGGGCAGATTAAGAGCTTTGTATTTCCACACGCTGTGTTTTTTATTCCTCCGGTCTGTAGAGAGGGATGTGAGGGATTTGTCTGGCTTCAGAGACAAAAAATAAACTAGCAACACCTTAAACACAGACTGTACTGTCCCGGCTCTTCGTTTTTAAGTAAATGCAGAAATGAGAGTAAACAGTGCAGAGAAAAGTGTTTTTATTTACACAGAACCGAGTGTTTTAATCTAAAACCACCTTTTAAAAATGACTGATTGTGAAAGTAAAGAGAGGCCATTAGCAGGGGTTCTTTAGTTAGTGATGGACCAACAGAGCTGAAAAGTGCAATAAAACCTCAGTCTGATCCAGTTTTTAGTGCTAACACACTGGTGCTGCTGTGAGAAATGGTCTTCCATTAACCTTGGTGTCATGGTCCTGACACCGGAGTGCTGCTTCCATCTATCTCTCACTTCCCCACATCCTGACATCCCTTTATTACCTTTTCCTCCTCATCTCTCACCGTCTCTTACCTTTCTTTCTCTTCTACCTGTGAGTGAAAGTGTCGAAACATGTGTGCCAAGATGAGAGTGTAGTGTTTTTCTTCTTTAGAGGAGCCTTATGTAAGACAGCTACTGAATGAAATGATAAAAGGACCTCACTATATGATCAGACATTAAGGAAACATGATATGTTGAAGTGCTGGCTTCTCTGACAACAATGCAGCAGTCAGTATGTCCTCCTTCTAACTTTAAATTCCGGTCAGCAATGGTCTGTATTTGCTTTGATCAGAGAAGGTAGGCGGTTTTAAGACTACCACCTATAGCTGTTTTGGACACCTCTCAGTTTGCCAGATTTCACGGCAGACCAACAGGTGTTGCTGTGATGGAAGCGGGTAAGCAAACTGGTTCCTCTGACCAGTTAGCTCTAAGCTCCACGAGCAGAAACATGCTCAAACTAGTATAACTATTGGAGATGCTTTTGAAAAATGGAGAGAGGTTGAAACACAGAAAGATTTACAGACCCATGCAGAGCTGGATAAACACTGAAGCTTCCCTGTCTGCGAAATGGCAACCTGCGCATCGACTCTAGGGAGGAGGGGTCGGGGGGGAGACAGCTCTGTCCAATATTTAGAATTTGGACTGCAGTACCCATTTTGAACAATAGGTGTCAGAGTTACATATTACTCCTTAAATATTATTCCAGTATTTATGTCAGTGCTTACGTGAAAAAGTAACTTAGGAAGGGTTCAGGGGCAGCCTGTCCTGAAACCTTCAAAATATGTGATATCATCTTCATAACTCAATTTGAACTTCTTGTGTCCAATTTGTTTCCCATCAGCCTCTCTGCGATCAGAGTTGAACCACATCCACGCATCAGCCATCGAACACCTGAGACAAACCCACCAACAGGAGTCAGCTGCAGCCAAGCTGGAGCTGGAGAAAACCCTGGAGAACAACCGGATACAGGTAGGAGGACTGACATCCTTTTTTATCAAGAATTATAAATCAAAACTCGACATCCTTTCACACTATACTTCACGTTTTTGAGATAATTATGACACTAGAAAACGTAATCTGTGGATACATTTTCCATCTTGCTGTTTTTGTTGACACTTGACCACAGCATGGAAACGTTTTTTCTGTGATCAATAACTTTCTAGTCAAGTACAAATCCTCACTAAGGCCCGTGTCCAACTAGCGTTTTTTCCGGGCAGAAAAGCGCTCAGGAGTGTTTGTATGAAGCGTTTGTGCTGAAAATCACTGCACGTCCGTCCTGTCTCTATGACAACAGTCTGTTGACAACGGCCACTGTATGACTGACACAGGTCACTTTTTACTGCATGTTTTGTATTTGAGATTGTTTTCTGACACGGAGCAAAGAGGATGTGAGTACAAGACACGATCTGTAGGCGGCAAAAATACAGGGAATATCATACATTTGGAAAAGAGCGCCGGTGACGTCAACAGCGCCTTTCTGAAGAGTTGAAAGATTTTCAACGTGAGCGCTCAGAGCGGCCGCACAAAAAAGTCGGAGAGTTGAGAAGAAAAGACTCTGGGCGCTGCGCTTTTTCTCCAGGCGGCCGCTTTCTGCTGAGAACGCTCTCTACACATTAAAAATGATATTGGCGCTCAGAAAAAAAAAATGCTATTTGGACACAGAGCCAAACACGAGTGTCCTTTTTTCATCACGGCTGTATGGATTGTGTGGTAAGAAGTCCACAGTGTGTAAACACCTTCCAAAAGGCTTTTAAGGCGTCTCTTTCACACTATTAAACACATTCATTCTCAGTCTCCCCAAGGAAACTACTCGAGTGAGAAACACAGCAAGAGTCCACAAAACACCCAGGATTTACTGGCAAGAAGTTTACAAAGCTGTTTGCAATTCCAATATCTTTATATATGACACCCTTTACTACTAAAGATATTGTAACTGAAAGTTATAATTCACAAAATGTAAAATCCTGGTTGACTTAGTGACACACATTGTTGCAGCAGCAGGGCTCAAAACTATGGGTCCTCAGGGGGCAGCAAACCTTCTCAGAGCAGGTACTTTGTCATGTCATGCTGTGCATGGTGAAAGTAGTTCTCGACACGAGCAGCTGGAAACAGTAAAGTTGGTTGTTGCCTCGAGCTTTTCACTGAACGCTTCTCTGTGGCTGCTCGTTCATTCTCCATTACTCCCCGCTGGATTACAACTGATCCTCTGACAGAACAATTCTGGGATGCATTTTGCACGATTTAAAACATTGGTAAGCACTGACACAGATAACAGATTTATAGTGTTTCCATTGACTGAGGCTTGACAATATCCAGTTGGTTTTTTGCTTTAAATTGTAGCGGAAAGAGCAGGCCATCTTAAACAGTGAAGCTAATATCAATGTCCTCACGTTTCCCTGGATGGCATGTTTCAATGTTTTCTCAATGTCTTTCAGTATGTGAATGCTCGACTCCACCACTAACAATTAAAACAACAACTACACAAAGAGACAAACACTGACTCTGAAATGTGGGTTTGATTTTATTTATAGTAAACCTTCAGAAGTTCAACAAGTAGCCAGAGGTGGCGCTATAGCAATTACTCGATAATTAAATAGATTTGTAAAAGATAATAACCACATTTTTGATTATATGATTTAAGAAAATTTGAATATACTGTGTCATAACAACACTTAAGAACACTTGGAAATTATGAAGAGTATTCATTCCTATTTCCTGATATTTTAAAGACTAAGGAATTAATAAATGAATACAATCCTAAAAGTGCAGCAGAATGATAAGAGAAGTTCTGTGTTTTTTTTTGTTTTTTTACAGTTTTATCGATATGATTTAATTGTTTTCCTCTGCTGGTCGTTGATCAGAAATGAGCTGGGGACGGAGGCAATAAAAGATAATGAAGTCAGCATGCTGCACACCTGCTGCAGGCACACACACTTAAATCCACATACACACACATATGCACACACACAAACACATGCACTCGCCACCCTACATGCTACCCCCCCCCTCTCTTGTAAATCTAATTACCCCATGAGTTCTTCTCTCTTCACCTCGTGATACAGATGTTCTTGCAGAGAAGCACAGCTGGCTGTCTTTAACTCCCCTACACACATACACACACACACACGCATACGCCTCCATCAGTCCCTCTCATCTCTGTTGCCACGGCAATAAGGAGTCAATAAAGGCTAATGGTAGAGAGTTGCCGCCTGAACTACCTGTCAATCAAAGGACTCTTGAAAACACAGAGAAAACTGAGCTCAGATTCAGTCAGTCTTGCAGCATACGAGCTACTTGGTGAGCATGAGGTACATTTCTTCTGATTTTGTCCCTGGCTGGAGACAATTTAGGATGTTGTTAAGTGTTGAATCTTGAGCACTGCATGTGAGCAAATCAGGAAGGGGAAATTAGTAAATTATTCCTGAACAAATCAGATCACATCCTTATTTCTCTTCCTCAAAGAATAACTGAATTCAAAATGCGACGAGCTGACTACTATCTTTAAACTGAATGCGCTTTAATCTCTGGTGCTGACACATTTTAAGTCCTGTCATACACAACACAAATCAACCCAGCAATTCAGCGCAAAGTATAGATTTCAAAATAAACGTCAGACATAGCTACTTTTTTATTTATGTTACATCAGAAAAACACAATGTGAGGTAGGTCTGCAGGTTGTGTTTATTATCTTTACATGTGATTGTTATTTAACAAAAAATGTGAAAAATGCTTATACTTTGGTATGGTTTCATGCTGTTTCGTATCATATCGTTTCGATCATATCATATAAGCATCACATTTTCCAGAGTCAGAAGTCTTTATTTAAAATGGCTCTTAGTAAATAAATGCCTTTCCTGATGACAGACAAAGTTAATTGTGAAGAAAGGGCAGTCTGAACTGAAAGTCCGAGCCACTGTGATGTAGAATCAAAATCCTTTATTAACAGGGACCCCTGTTAACATCTCTGTCAATAAAGGAGCGGCCCAGAACGGGAAAGGCGGTAAGGATAAAGGAAAATGGATGCTGTACGTTCACGGCAAAGATACTTGGTGAGGCGTTTAAAATAAAGCAAGATACGTTTTTTTGTCTGAAAACACGACGTACACATTTACAGGATGAATTAAAGACTAGACAGAGAAAGACGTCTTAATAGAGTGAGACAGCCCTTTTAAAGTGACTCTACATACAGGATATTAATACCACAAAAACAAATATACCCTCAGCTTTAAAGACGAACCTTCAGACAAACACAAAGAAAGAGCGACTTCGTCACAAACACTTAAAAACCATCAAAAATTCAAAACAGAAATAGGCCCGAGGAGGTGTTTGATGCTGACGATGTGATGATTTATCTGACAGCTCTGTTTAATCAAACACCTTAAATATCTCCAGGGAGAGACAGATGACAGTGTTTTAGAGACACAACCCAGTACTTCATCAGCCTCGTCCTCCCCGTCTGTTAACTAATTAGACGTATTCAAACATTATTTAACTCAGCGTGACGACTGTCGGCTGCTGGGCTCTTCCACTCTGACGACTCCGCTGAAGAGCTTTAACGTTCAGAGACCATGAGGACTCTAAGAGCGGTGAACAAGGAATTCATGTCAACACAAAATCTGACCTCTCTTACTTTAAACATCTAGCTTTTTATACCCACTTATTTTTCAGGCTCCATAGGGTATACCCACTTCTAAATCTCCTCTGATTCACATCTTTAATTGATTGACCATATTCAGTGGGATGCTAAGATGGTGAAGGGATGACCCTCCCTACTCTGTCTCTAATTGACTAGCACAAGCGCTAACTAAATAAGCAAGAGGAGTCTTCTGTCACTGTAACAGAGGCCGTTTATCTTCCGCTGGACGGGACACTTAAACAAATCATTTGGGGAAAAATTAAGAGTATACCCACTTCTTCAGGAACCACTTCACCACTGCGTCAAACCAAAAAGATAAATGTACTCTGTGGTTACAGTGTGTGCTTTAAAGTCTGCTGGGTTATAAGAAAGACAAACAGAACTCACTGTGTTTGCACATCATGTTACTTCAATGTTCCCAACTTCAACCCTTTGATGGATGTGGAACCTTTGTTCTTTAGAGCTGCGGTGATTAGTCAGTTGAATTGATAATACATGCCTTATTAATTCAGTTTTACACTCTGTTATTGAGACATCCTACACACACATAGGATGAAATACACACACATGATCCTCTGGACATGCTCTAATGGAGAGCTGTCAGGGTGAGGGGGAGTTGGTGGAGGGGTTAGGTGTCTTGCTTAAGGGCAGCACGTCAGTACTCAGGAAGTGAACTGGCACCTCAGCAGCTACCAGGCCAACTTCCAGATTTGGTCCGCATTGAGACTTGAACCGGCCACACAACCCAAGTCCCTATTCTACTATTCTACAAATCTACAACTCACTGAGCAGACGCTTTTATCCAAAGCGACGTACATCAGAGAGTAAGAACAACACAAGCAAGGATCTAGAAAAAAGGAAACAATGTGAGTAAGAGCAAACGATCAGCTTTGAGTCTGATTGGACACACAGGTGCTGACAGGAAGTGGCCAGAGGCAAAGCACTGACGGCAGTTCTTGAGAGCTCTAATCAGTATAGAAACCATCTTATAAGTCGTCGTTATCAAACAAAAACCATCTTTATTACCATCATCATCATCAATAATATGGAGACCATCATCATTAAGTTAGTAGGTATTCATGAAAGAGCTGGGTCTTTAGCTTTTTCTTAAAGGTACAGACTGAGCTACAGCTAAAAATGTTTGGCCGCACTAGATGCTGAATCTATGCTCGTGGGCTCAGTGTGTCACAGAAGTTCCAGTCCTCTGTCGCCTTTAAAGGCCTAAGAGTTGATATTGAGGCAGTCCAGTGCTAATTGAATCTGAAGATTAACATCACAATCTTTCTAAAAAAAAAAAAGTTCCCACCAATGGTCCTCCATAAAGAACCCTACA